GCCTTAGAGTCTATGAGTCTATGACTGTAAGAAAACGTTTTCAGTATATATACATAGCATCCATCTATATATTTCACAATGATGTTCATGACCAAAGTGACACAGGCTTCAAGACATCACCTGACACTCTTTGGTAAACTAGAATGTACATGCCACACCCAAGAGATTCCTTGTAACCTCTCTGCACTCCCTTTCCAGTTGGTATTGAGAAGTTCTAAGGTGTTACCCAGACTTTGATTCACCAAAAATGTTTGGAATTTTTTTGAATTTGGTTTGAACTGAATTGAATTTGTATTTATTTTTCAGAACTGCCAGTGAACTGAAAAATCAGTTATTTGCCCAGCTCTAGTCAGAATGCATGTTCCTTGGTATACTCATTTATGTTTGAAGATTCTAAGAGTAACACATCTCCTTTAAGAAATACATTATATGGTTTAGTTAGGTTTGAAGCTGTTCCAAATTGCTTAATTTTCCTTCTTCTTCATTAGGGCCTTATTTTGTAGCTGCTGCACATGAAGCTGCTGCAGAATAATGGCCATTGTTTGGATGTACCATAAGGCCAACATTTTGAAATGTAGCTTCTGATTTTGGGTGCCTCCATCTTAAAGTGTCTAACCTGAAACACCTTGGGCCTGTTCCAAAGGTGCTGAGAACTCACAGCCATAGATGGGGTCAACAGGAATTAAGATACGTTGGGCCTTTTTTTTTTAGTATCTCAGTCTGGGCAATAAAAATCCAAGGCCCTTTAGATCAGAAGGTATTCTTGAAAATTTTAGCCTAACCAGTTTTAAAGATTTATCACATCCAAATTTGGGTTTATTTATTCATTTTGAGTTATCTGATAATTTGAATGTCCCCTACAACAATAGGTCCGGGTGTTGATTCTGGACAAGACTCAGGCATGCGCTAAAGTGCCTTTTCTGAACGGAGGTCACATTAAGATTTAAGACTGCAATAGAAAAAGTGAAGATAGTCTTGGGAAATGTGTCTGTCTGTGCATATGGGTTTTATCAGTTTTATGGTGTTTAATCTTTCTAGTCTGGGAATGTGTTTTCAGGGAAGGTTCTTCTATCCAACCAGCACAGCAGACCTCTTTGTGGCTTTTGCATGTGCGGGGAGAGCAGATGAGCCCAGAAGAGGTCTGATGGGGGATCAGGGAGAAAAGTCCTTAATTTAATTTTCAGCACTTTTTCTCTTTCACATTAAAGAACTCTACTGCTTCTTAAATATTTGAAAAGTTGATAGGTTGCTTCATCTGACAAATCCCATTTACTAAAGTAGTCAACAGGTAAATTATAAAACTGAAACTAAAACAGATCGCACTGAATTAAGAAAATAAATTGCAAAGAGAACAGATGCTTTCCAAGATACTGTTATGGATCTCTTTTCTGGCACTGTATTTCTCTGCTAATAATTTCCATGCAGTTTACTGAAATAGAGCATATTTAGTACAAGCCCTTACTAGCAAGTACAGGATTAAAAAGGCATCTGGAAAATGTTGAGCTCTTCAGCTCCTATCAGTGTACAGCTCAGGAAATAGTGTCTAATGAAGGTTTTCATAAACCATTCTTAGCAGACATGGAGTTGTGATCCAACAGTTGGGATGTGATCTCTCATACCATATAATGCCGTGTGTATTACTGATGTTTTGTTATTGCAGGTCAGTTATGCCTTTTGTAGGCTGGTTGAAACTTTTAGGGATGCATTTGCGAAGGTTCAAGATGAAAAATTTGCCTACACATAATCTTCATTTGTGCATGTAACAGACAGGCATTTGCACAAGCAATTATATATTTTTCTTGTCCAAATCCGGTATTTGTATGCGTGCAGTGCGCAAGCATGCACATTTTTGTCAGTAATGCCAGCCTTTGAAAATGTTGCCTTTAAGGCAATGTTGTTCCTTCCTTTATTATTTTCCATGAGAATAAAAAAGTGAGACCCACAATCCATGGCTTATAGATAATTTTCTGCTATGCACAAAAATGCATGCATTTGACTGAAGTGGAATGGACAAAGCACTATGCTGTTGGCAACAATCCTGCTATTGGGCCCCCGGGTATGGACTAGATGACCTCAATAGGCCTTTTCCACTCCAATTTCTGTGACTTTATGGGGATTTAATTCTTTCAGTAGGGCACAGCATAATTTGGGGTGGGGCTAAGGAGAAAAACTGCGTGGAACAAAACATCAAAAAATATTATGCAAAATTTCATGAAGTGAATGTCCTCAGGGGAGTTGTCCTAAAGAGCAGGTTAAAGTGGTCTCCAGCTGGAACAATGCAAGAGATTTTAAAGAATTTATGTCTGTAAATTAAAGCAAACCGGAGATCAATGATCCCAGTCTACTGATAGAACTACAGTACACCTGTGACTCAAGAATGCATAATTAATTAGTCCAGGTGCAGTAATCAGTGGTAAAGATAGCATAGAAGTATTACCATATTACTTACAAAAATGTATAGGATTTTTATCCCATGGTGGAAACATTGCAGCGTTGATTCTGCCCTCGATGATTATACCAAAATATTCATGTGTAGTCTTCCCGTGCTGGTGGAAAGTCCATCTGGAGATGCTGGGAAGCATATTCAAATGCCTGCCACAGCAGCCAGAAAAGTGGGCAGGGTGTGTGGCCAGGGCACCCATGAGGTGTGCTGATTCAGTGTGTCCACGGGGCTGTCTCCATTGGTGGGACTCCTGTGGAAAGCCAGTTCCAAGATAGAGCTGCTCTTCTCCAACAAGAACCCCTCTAGGACAGCAGTAATGCAAATACCATGTGCCCTCCCTCTGGAGTACAGCAGCTCCTGACAGCTCTGTGGAGGAGAAAGGGGCTTTGCAAATTGCAGTTGCCTGTCCCAGCAGGATGAATCAATCCCCTGATGTATTGGAAGATTAGATTAGAATTCAGGATGGAACCATGTCCCTATGAAAAGATCATAGGGAAATACAATTTTTTTTTTAAAAAATGGCCTGTTTCTGGTGAATATGAGCCCAATTTCCAAATGAAGTGGAATCAATCAAAAACCTGCAAGAAGTTGTATTTTCCAATCAAAAACCTGCAAGAAGTTGTATTTTCACACATTTTCAATTCAAAAATATTTCTAATTCCATCTAAGGCACTTTTATGGCCCTCACTACTGTATTCAAGCATCTCAATCTTTAAGCAGGGAATTTCATCAAAATTGCTAAACAAATCTGAGGACATACAGACCACGTCACTGCAAATAGAAAGAAGACTGTATATATGATAGACCAGAAAGTTTTGATGGTTTAAAGTTCTGAAAAAACCACATTGACTTCTAAGGGATTTCAATCTGATCCTTCCCAAGTAGGATTTTTTTTTTAACTATTCATTCATGTATTCATTGTGGAATAGTTTGGAGTAGTAATATCAGGAGCACAATGTGCTACACTTGAACAGAAAAGTTGTTTTGAAAAAAAAAGTGCTATGGGGTGGCTAGGGTTAGAGTTAAACACTCACAACTTAATGACATTTCTCCGTCTGTCTAACGTGATAACACTGCGTCCAGTCCCAAAATTTCAGAGAATGTTCATTGCATTGAAGGGCCAGAACCCTATTGATTTGGTGGGAAAATCTGAAAACCAAAAGGCAGAAATAGGGGAACACATGAACCTCCCGCCAGCTCTTTAGTATAGCTACAGCCTCAAGCACCTCTGCTATTGCCTATTGATCCAACCCGGGCTTAATTTGTAATGAAAGAGGTGCCGGGGCTCAAGCCGGACGGCCAGAGAGTGGCAGCTGCTGGCACTGAAGGCTGCCGCCAGCAGCAGTGCAGAAGTAAGGGTGGCAAGGTATGGTGATGTCTCTGCTCATCCTGCCTATGGAATTTAACATGTTGACTCAGAATGACTTATCTCCTAGATAGAAAGAAGAGGGTGTAAGGGCATAGGGGTGGGGAGAATGGGGCACATGGAATCCCTGGCAGCGGGAAGAGTGGGGGATCTGGTATGGGGAGTGGGAAGAAGGGGGGCACACAGAACCCTAGCATGGAGGGCAAAGTGGGAATTGAGGGAAGGGAATAATGAGGATTCCCACTAATCCCCTGGCATGGGGAGTAGGGGGATGGGGCATGTAGAACTCCTGGGCGTGGGAAGAATGAGAGACCCTACTGTGAGGGAAGGGGCAATGAGGGGTGCACAGAGCTCCTGCCTTGGGCAGGAATGGGGGACCCTGCAATGGAGGGCTGGGTGAATGGGGGAGTACACCGAGCCCCTGCCATGGAGGAAAATGAAAGGTCTGGGAGAAGTGGGAATGGGGATGCTCAGAGCTGTTGTATGGAGGGGAGAATGGAGGAGCCTGAAATGAGGATGGAAAATGGGGGGGTACACAGAGACCCTGGCAAGGAAAAGATTTAGGGGAAGAGGGTTCAGGAAGTCCAGAAAAAGAGGGAGATTGGGTTGGGGAGGAGGGGGGCAGAGGGATGCAAGGAGCCCCAGTGTGTGCAATAAGTTCAGTTTACACAAGCTGTGAAGTTAACATACACGAACTTTCCATACCAGTATTAAGACATCTACACAAGCCATTTAGTTTTTCTAACTAATCTATTTTAAAACAGATTTAGAAGGTAAGTCGATACACGGTTGTGTTTCAGAGTTCAAATAGTGTGCATGCCCTGGCAGGAGCAAGTGAACAGCCTGTGTGCTTCCTTTTAAGAGCCTCCTATAGAAGAAATCGATTTGGGAGCTTTGAGTTTAATTGAAAAGAGCGGACCGTAATGGACTTGTCAGAAACCTCTGGGATTTCTCTTAGCAAGAGTTAATCATCTGACTAAATTGCTCGCTCTGTGGCTGGTATTTACAACATGAGATCCTCCTTCCTCTCCTCTTTTGCCCTGATAAAGTGAAGAGTTCAGTGACGCAAGTGGAGGAGAGTGGAAATGTCAGAAGTGATTTGCAGCTACCCAACACAAGAAGCAGCGGTGTTATTTAACTTGTTTCTCTTTCTCTTTCCTCCCTTCGCTTGGCTCGATATCTGCCCAAAAGGGAATTCAGGGCCTTGGTGATAGAGATGGTGTTGGCCACTGATATGTCCTGTCACTTCCAGCAAATCAAAGCCATGAAGAATGCTTTGCAGCAGCCAGAAGGGTGAGTCACCTCCTGACACTGTGTGCAGTGAAGGGCTGCATTTCAGCTGGTACTTGGCAATTGTATTAAACTCCGGAGGACCCTTTGATGTCCACGTCTATTTCTGTTGTTAGATTTTGAATGAATTCACATGTGAGCACTCAGGCACGTGCCCGTATGATATTCTGGCGGGCCACAGCATCTAAATAGCAAAGCTATGGGATAAACCAGCCCATTCCTTTTCCTTTTCTTAACAATACAGGATAAAGGGCACGTATGATCCAGCTAAGAGTATGACTGAAAGAGCTTGATTATGGCCTCAGGTCGCAGGTGCTGGGAGCAACACCTGCTGCACAGAGTACAGCTTGTGCCTCCACTGCAGGGAGCCAGCTCTGTAATCGGAGACAATAGGGAAGCAATCTCAGAGCCACAGAGGGCAAGTGTGTGCTATAGAGCAGGCAGAACAATATGAGGAAGGCCTTCTCCTCTCCGAAGATCATCTGTGAGCCACTTAAAGCCCTGAGTATCTCCTCTACTCTCCCCCCGCCCCCATACACACCATTTTATCCGAACCCTCAAAACTCTGAATTGTGGGTAGTATTCTTCCAGCCAAGGAGGGCTTAGCACATGTCTTTCCAGAGCCTGCCAAAACTGTTCCTAAATCAGACATGGATGATTCCAACTGCTATCTCCTCTCAGGAGCTGGCTTTAGGCCGATTCCCCGGAATCAGGCCCTGCGCCTAAGAAGGCCCTGCTCCGTAGGCACCTTTAAAATTTTTTTTTACTCACCCGGCGGTGGTCCGCTCCGGGTCTTCAGTGGCACTTCGACGGCAGGGGATCTGCTCCGGGTCTTCGGCGGCATTTCGGCAGCAGGGGGTCCTTCAATGCTGCGGAAGACCCGGAGCCGAGTGAAGGACCCCCTGCCACCGAAGTGCCACCAAAGACTCGGACCACTGCCGGGTATTCAAATCAGGCCCCGAGGTCCTAAAGCCAGCCCTGGCTATGTGTATTACTTCTGCAGCACTCCTACCAGTTTGGGGCAGCGAGAGATTGGGATTACTGCATGGCAGTATCCATCATAATTCACTAGGCTCCTGGGCTAGCCCCTCAGTGGCATGGCTTTAAGAAGATTTCAGCCTTATATAGTGCCTCCAAAGAGTCTGAGTTTCTTTTCTGATCTCTTACCTGCACCAGCTTTTTACCGGTGGAATTCACATGGTTTAAATGGAATTACTGTTCATGCTTATCACTGTGAGATCAGAATCAAGCGCTAATTGTTTAAGCAAGTCAACAGACTAAAATAATCTAGAACTATTTACTGATTGGAGTTTCATGGACTCTAACCCAGCTCAAACTGAGAATATCAGGAACATTCAAAGCTCACTCATTCACACACACAAACTCTGCAAAGAAAATAAGCGAGACTAATGCTCCCAGTTTCCCGTTTTGCTTTTGAATGACTCCATTACTAAAGGAAAGGTTTATGTTAGGGAAGTTAGATTAATCTTTAATAGTTGTCAAGTTTTATAAACACACAAATCAATCTATTAGTAGCCTAGCCAAAGGTTATGGTGGCCTCATTTACTTGCTTAGCTGGGTTTCTGTTCTTTCTGTTTCAATACTGGTGCAGACAATTAACTTGTTCAGTCATTTGGGTTTGCAGAATCGACAAGCCGAAAGCCTTATCACTGTTGTTGCATACAGCAGACATCAGTCATCCAGCCAAGGCCTGGGACCTTCATCATCGCTGGACCATGTCCTTGCTAGAGGAGTTCTTCAGACAGGTAGCCTTGGGACTTTACAAAATTATTTTGTAGTTTTGCTGACAGAATGAGAGATGGAGTGGGCGGGCTTGGGATGGGAGAGGGAGAATGAATGCTATAAGTCAACATCTTCTTTCACTTATATTTTTCATAGGGAAGATGCCCACTGTAGCAGCAAAGTAGATACAATTTTTCTTTCGTCTGACTTCAGTGAGATTCCACTGCTATGTCTGATTGTAAGCTAGTGTCTGATATGTTGTCCTTATCAATATATTGGAAATTCTCAATCTTTCAGACATCCAGCAAAACTATACCTAGAACCCCTAATGAGAACGTGTATTTCTAATGACCAAAAGGCAGAATAGCTAACATAGTACCCAGCTTGCCAACCATTGAAGATCTTCAGGAATTGGGTGCACCTAAGTGAAAGCACTCAGCATTAGGTCCAGACTATCATTTCTTTCAATAATGAGTCTTCCTATTTCTCTTTGACCTGACTCTGCTGCCACTTCAAAACTCCATTTTGATTTCTACTTTGCTATGAAGTCATGGAAACCAATAAAGCTCAGTACATTGTAGATTACAGAGCTGGACATATATCATCATAAATGGTGAAAATTATGTTGCGCTTTCTGTAGACATGTGGACGGGTCTAACCTATAGCTCTCGCAGGGCCTCCTGTTGCCAGAACCACAAATCCAGACACATGATTGATTCCTGTGTGATACTCATAAGATCCTCCAACTGGCCCTAAGAGGGGTTGGTTTTTTTGTTTTAAGTACAATAAAAGTTATTTTTTTTAATTTATTTTTAATAGCAAAAAAAACTTTTAAAAAGGTAGTGCTGGTCAAAAAAAGAAGAAAAATCATAAACATTTTATTGACCTTTTCCCCCTCTTCAACTTCAAAATTTTTTAATATTTCCAAATGTTGACTAGCTCCATAGATGGTTGAAACATAGGGAGAAAAAAATCAGTGAAAATGCCATTGAAGTTTATTATTATTTTATTTTAATTTCAAAATATGGACAACATTTTGAAATTTAAAAAATTTCTACCATAAGAACATAAGAATGTCCCTACTGGGTCAAACAAATGGTCCATATAACCCAGTATCCTGTCTCTGACAGTGTCCAGTTGGGAATTGGTCCTGTCTTTGAGCAGGGGGTTAGACGAGATGACCTCCTGAGGTCCCTTCCAACCCTGATATTCTATGATTCTATGCTTCTGGCAGTTGGAGGTTTAGGGACCCCCTGAACATGGGGTTGTGTCCCTGCCCATCCTGGCTAATAGCCATTGATGGACCTATCCTCCATGAACTTATCTAATTCTTTTTTGAACCCAGTTATAGTTCTGGCCATCACAACATCCCCTGGCAATGAGCTCCACAGGTTGACTGTGTGTTGTGTGAAGAAGTACTTCTTTTAGTTTATTTTTAAACCTGCTGCCTATTAATTTCATTGGGTGATTCCTGGGTTGTGTGTTATGTGAAGGGGTAAATAACACTTCCCTAATCACTTTCTCCATACCGTTCATGATTTTATAGACCACTGTCCTATTCCCTGTTAGTCATCTCTTTACTAAGCTGAAGCGTTCCAGTCTTTTAAATCTCTCCTTGTATGGAAGCTGTTCTATATCCCTAATCATTTCTGTTGCCAATCTCTACACCTTTTCCAATTCTAATATATCTTTTTTGAGATGGGGCAACCAGAACTGCACACAGTATTCAAGATGTGGGCGTACCATGGATTTATATAGCAGCATTATGATATTTTCTGTTTTATTTTCTATCCCTTTTCTAATGATTCCTAATATTCTGTTAGTTTTTTTGACTGCTGTTGCACACTGAGTGGATGTTTTCAGAGAACTTCCACGATGACTCCAAGATCTCTTACTGAGTGGTAACAGCTAATTTAGACCCCATCATTTTGTATGTATCATTGGGATTATTTTTTCCAAGGTATATTACTTTGCACTTATCAACACTGAATTTCCTCTGCCATTTTGTTGCTCAGTCATCCACTTTAGTGAGATCCCTTTGTAGTTCTTTTCAGTCAGTTTTATGAAAAGCCTCAAATGTAAACATAGTGTGGTAATCCTAATTTAACAAGGACACTACCACCTTGGTCTGGAACCATTACAGTGATTTACTTTTCAAGAGATGGTGATATACATGCTAAGAAAAATGTCACTTCACAACATCTTTATGCTTTTCCAAGACAGAATGTGGGGGGAGGGATAGCTCAGTGGTTTGAGTTCAATCCTTGAGGGGGCCATTTAGGGATCTAGGGCAAAAAAAAAAAGTTGGGGCTTGGCCCTGCTTTGAGCAGGGGGTTGGACTAGATGATCTCCTGGGGTTCCTTCCAACCCTGATATTCTATGATACACTTTGCAGAATAGTCACCTATTGAATACATATAAGATCACCAAAGAACTGGTGACTACACAGACTCAAGAATACACAGGGCCCAAAGGGATACAATAAAGGAAGAGTGTTGTTATTTATTATTGCACCCAAAGACCCCAGTTGTGATTGAGGCACCATTTAACCTGGCTATGTACAAACACAGAAAAGAAACATCCAGGACTTCTCATGCCCACAGTTGATTTCTATGGTCGTTTAAATTGCTGTAGTATATTTTGGTTCCCAGTCACAACCATGTGGAACATCGTCACCATGCTCAACAAAGTTAGAGCGGGATATTGATTTAAAGCATTGACACTAGCGTATTTCACAAGCTATTTTAAATCTGATTGATGTATGTTATCTCATGTAAATTATTGTCCTCTCTGCTCACAGTTGTCTGTTTCAGAGTGAAACAAATTAAAGGGTGTTTTGAGCAAATGCATTTTGAATGCACACAGTGAAAAGGGTTGGCACAGAAGGGATTTAAACACTTGATCTCCTGCATAACTGTGTGATGACAAGGGAGGGCATGCAGTTCTGGTAGCTGGAAAATGTGTCCAGGTTTCTGAGTTTCAGCATTTCTTTTGGGCAACAGCCCTACCACCTGTAGCACACTGAGGGTCTCAGTATTTTACTGGGGGGGGGGGGGGGGCGCGGATCTGAAGTGGTGAGATCCACCCTGTGCAAATACAAATGCATATAAAGAAATACAGATAGAACTCAAACCCTGGAGGAAGAGTCCTGACACTGATACTTTCTGTTGGTGGACTTACTCTAATAATAGAGTTCTGTTACTTGTTGGTTTCACATGAGAAGTGCTGTATAGAATCCTCTTGGGTTTTCAAGGTGTTCCACAGAAACAACCAAAAGGCAAAGAATGCTTTGCAATCAAGATTTACCCGAGTAGATGTTTTAGAAATAGGATTATGTGGTTTATATTTAGTGGTAGATGTAAATTGTATTAGAGAAACGGGAGCTGCTTCCTTCGAAGTAGGGTGGGGGAGCATGTAGAATAGAGTGGGTGCTGTTGCTGCAAGAGGAGGTTGGCCTGTAGTTGAACAGTGAGGTGATAACTCTCCACAAGAAGCTCTTAAAGAAAAGGATTTGGATGCCCAGAATAAACAAAGTTATCCTTTAAAAAGCTGAGTCTTGCAATTAAGGGTGTAACATGAGCTTCAATTAAAAAAAGAGAGAGGCCCTTCCAGTGTCCAGTGCTGTTACAGATGTTAAGCGACTCTTGTTGTATTCTAATATGCTCTCAATTTTGTTTCTCCAGGGTGACAAAGAAGCAGAACTAGGGCTTCCTTTCTCCCCGCTGTGTGACCGCAAGTCTACTATGGTAGCTCAGTCTCAGATAGGTATGTCATTTCAATGTACTTCACTTAGGACGCAAAGCAGCAATTTAAAGGGAAAAAAATATGCTCCCCCCCAACGGGAGTAAGATCATTCTGGGCTCTCATCACTTTGAATTGGTTTAGAAGTGGGGGGGAGGAGAAATCGCACTGGCGTTATTGTCCCTAAAGGGATGATTCTAAGATGAACAGCTATCACATTTAGTTGATTTATGAGAGTTGTACTAAAGGGGAACTGAGTTAACACAAATGTTACTGCTGGACCAACCACTATACATGGCTGTATGGCGGCTGCTCCTTGGTTCCTGAACACTGCAGAAGACACTTGAAGCGGGGATCTTGGCTTCAATACATGTTACTTTAGTTTTTGACTAAAGTCATTGTTTTGCTCATTTAACTGATTCCCTAACCTTCTAACCCACCAGCACTGTTCCAACTTCTCCAGTCAGCAAGCATCACCCCCAACCTTATACTGGGTCCAGCCACTGCTTCTTGCCCCCATCTTCCCATCCCCATCCAGCAAGGGAGGTGGGAGCCTGCAGTGAACCAAAACAGTGCTTCCTTTTCCACCTCCTCCTCCTGCAGGAGAAACTGTGAATGGGGTTTGGGGAGAATGATCCCGAAGTTGTTGAGCAGCATGGAAATGGGAAGAGGCAATAAATCTGTAACACTGGAGGGGCAAGGAAGAGGGGAGAAGCAGCCTAGAGACATGCAGGAGTTTGGAGACAAGAGAAGATACTGGGAGTTGTGGAGACGGGTTTCCGAGGTTGAATGGGGGAAATGAAGGAACGAGAGGAACAAGGGGCAGGGGAAATGGAAAGAGAAAGGTACTGGTGGATGGAAGGGACAGCAGGAGTAACTGAGAAAACACTGGGTATGTTTACATTGCAATGTAAGCCCAGGGTTTGAACTCAGGCTCAAGCCTAACCCCGCTTCCATCTACACACAAAACCCACTAACCCAGGGCTTGGATCTAGGGTTCTAGGAACTCACAGAGGGGGAGAATCTAAGCCTGAGTCAAGCCGGGACACAGAGTTCTAGCTCTATGGATTTGCAGTGTACATGCGGCCCCACTGGACTCGTGTTCTGGGAGTCCATCAGAAGTATCCCACAGTTCTACAGCCTGGCTTTCTTTGACCTCTGGAGAGTCAAGTTTTATGCACAGTCAAGTTTTCCGTCACTGCACCAGGAACAAAGGACTAAAGCGACCACATTTTGGGCAGGTGTTAGGAAGTCTGGGATATGGGTGGTTTGACTCTGGCCCGCGTAATACAATGTACATGCTAGAAGCCTCCGGTTGGGACCTAAGGTTCAACAATCCCTATCCTGGGGTTGCAGATGAACATAGATGCTCAAGCCATAGGTTGACAAACCGAGGGTATGCTAACTTGCGTTATACTAACCCTGGGCTTACATTGCAGCGTAGATACACCTACTGACACTAAAAATGTGGCAGAGGGAGAAAGTTTTAAAGAAAGGTGTGGGGGAGGAGGGGAGTGACTTTGTTTTTTCCTCCAAACATTTTATAACCAAGCTGAAAAAAAGTGTAAAAGGATGAAATTTCACAGCTGTCCCCAGCACTGTCATGGGATGAATGGAAACCCAGATCCAAACATCCCTGAACTTTGGAGAAGTTCAGATCCGTATCTATGGTTTAGGGCTATCCCTAGTTTAGCTGTTTTCTCACATTCCCTTTCAGACTGTCATGTAAAGCTTCAGAGCCAGAAACCTCCTCAGAGTCCCAGTTCTTGGGATACTTCCATCCCTATTTTTCCAGTCTCCAGAGGTTCAGACAGTTCAGTTAATCATCTGTACTAATAGGCTCTTATTCAAATCATGTCTGGTCACCTAACCTTTTCATGTTAATCCCTCTCTACCTGCAACACAGAGTTTTACCTGGGAAAGTGGATACACCCACAAGAGATAATTTAGAGAATTTTTTCACTTCAAGGTCCCGGAAACAAAGACAAGGTTTTCATCTCGAGGCCAAAAGACCAAAAATGTCAAGACACTTGACCACAGCCTTGGATAGACCAAGAGACTACCTACACTTGACCAGAGCTCAGAGAGCCGAGTACTACACTACTACTAAGGGCAAAATGGCTCCATAGGCACCCCAGACATGCTGGAGGGGGATCAGGCAGGGACTGGAAAATACAGGAAGGGGAGCTGCAGCTCAACAAGAATCCCTGTTGGGGACCCCCAGGCAGTGCATGGCTGCTGCACTTCTCTGGAAGGGGGTACAACAATGTTCCCCACTCCCAGCTCTCCTGGCTGGTGTGGAGCTAAGGCCTCACCTGCCATACACCCCATTTCAGGCCCTTTGCTTCTGCAGAGGCTCTAGGAGGGAGCAGGGGCCATGCTCCAAGAAATTCTTCCCAGCTTCTGTGCAGGGCACAAGCCTGTGTGAAGAAGCTGCTTGTACCTCCCTCCTCTTTTGTATTCCATGCACAGGTCGGCCAGAATTTGTCTCTAAATAAAAAGACCCTTATGACCGCCTCCAGTGTGCAAATCATTGCAGAATTAATGGTGAATTAAACCATTATCCAAACAATTACAGCTTAAGAAACAGGCACTCAATCAATAAGCAAAGAGAGATTTATTTAGTTCTGTGTTATTTATCATTACATTTAATTTGTGCAGTTAACTGTATCCAATTGGCATTAACAGGCACATTCTCTCTAGAAGTCTTGTCCTCTAACATTATAAAGTTTTCATTACAGTCTGCTCAACATATGGGCAATAACTTGACATCTTCAGTGTCTCCTTCATTAAATCAAAAACTCTTACCTTTCCCCAATATGTGTTGAGGTAAGATTCCTCTCAAAGTCCTAGGCCAGATTCTTAGGGAAATATTCAGCTCCTATTCATTTGCTTATCTGATTGATAGCTTTCAACAAATAGTGCCACTGAATGGTAATTACTAAGTTTCTTTGCAGAAGTAAGTACCTCATGAATTCCAAATTGTACTATTATCTACAGCACGCAGCCCTCATTTTCAACAAATGAAAGGAATGTCATTTGTGAGATAAGTTTGTGTTCTCAAGTATCAGAAGGGTAGCCGTGTTAGTGTCTGGATCTGTAAAAAGCAACAAAGAGTCCGGTGGCACCTTATAGACTAACAGATGTATCGGAGCATAAGCTTTCGTGGGTGAATACCCACTTCGTCAGACGTTTTGGGTTCTCAGTCCACTTTGTAGTGGGGACATAGAGTTTCTGGGCTATCTCAACAGCTTGTTTACAGTATCAGGCGAGACAGAACTAAATCACCTCTCGAGGTTCCCTCCTGGTCAGAGTTAAGGCCGTGTTCTATTTTGCTGCTGTACGAAAGGTCATCGTTAGAGCTGGGCAAAGAAAGGTAATTCCTTTTCGCAAAGGATATCAATATTTCAAAACCTGGTTTTGTTCCAATTTGGAATAAAATCCAAAAATTTTGAAATTCTCTGCAAAAGGGAATGAAGCCCCAACTTACAAACTGCTTGTTGGATTGTCCCAGAATCATAGACCCCAGAAGCCCTGAGGTCCCTGACTCTGGGGCAGTGTGTACAGTGAGCTGCCGAGGAGCCAAATGAGTGGAAACCAGGTAAGGTTCCATCAGAACTTTGTTAAAATCAGACCATCGCTGTGAAATGTTTTGATTTTGACAAATTGGCAGATTCCGATGAGAAAATGTTTTGTCAGAAGTTTTTCAGCCAGCTCTAGTTGTTGTGGATGCACAGACCACAGCAGGTGAGCATGCTTGATGACCAGAAATGCAAAGAGAGGGTTTCTTAGCATGTATTGTTTCTACAGAAATTAAACAATTTAACAAGAAAAATTTCTTTAAAAGGAAGAGAACAAAAGAGACACATTCTTTCACCTGCCACTTCATTTTGTAAAGAAAATGTTGGGAACAAGTCCAATCGGAGACGATTCACATCTTAAAATCAGGCCTTTGGTCAAGTGGAGGGGAGCGGGGGAACCCAGCAAATTGCAAAGAATTACCAGGCCAACGTTTTTATTTCTCAACAGGAGAATTAAACTATTTGAAGCCCCTTTCTTTCTATCCAAGGCAGCAGGAAGCTTTGTTTGACTGGAAACGGGCCTTTGTTGTCATCACTGTCTCTTGCAGCTGATTAATGTAGCAAGAGTCTTTTATTTTTGTCCTTTGGCTTGCTGGAAAGAAAATGATGGCTTCAGAAGATATAGGACAAAAGCTGATGATTAAATGAGGTTGTTCCTGAATGGCAGTCTCTCAAGAAATTATTCCCTAACTAGCATGATCTAGGTGTCCTTTTTAACATGGAATGAAAATAAACTCTAGGCCAGTGGTTTTCAACCTTTTTTTTTCATTTGCAGACCCCTAAAAACTTCGAATGGAGGTGCAGACCCCTTTGGAAATATTAGACAAAGTCCGCAGGTCTGCGGACCACAGGTCAAAAACCACTGTTCTATGGTGATATCAATCTTTTGTGGACCCCTTTGACATAGTTTGATCACAAGTAGAAAACCACTGCTCTTGGCAGTTGGCCTTGGGACCCTCATCTCAGAGTGTAAAGATGAGGAGTAAGATAATCCTCAGGCAAAAACTATGTTAAGGTGGAGAGTATGTATCAGTAATTTAGAGTAAAATACATTAGAGGGTGTTATAAAGTATCCCCAGACCAGGCATTGTAAACCCAAGAAATCCAGAGTTCAGGTTAAATTTAATAATAAATCCAAATGTGTTACAGTATGGAAATGTACAGTTAGGGCTCCCAAACAACCTTAACTCTGCTGAACAGTGACAAATGAGGGGGAAATAAAGTTGAAAAATCTGTCTTTAAAAATCAATGGGTCTAATCTGTGACCACAAACACTAAAGTACCTTAGTGACCATATGGTTATTGTATGGTGTCACACAGGGCAGGGCTACAGGTGGCTGAAATATGGTGTATAAGTGCGCACATTAGCAGACCCAAAACGTCTCCACAACCTCAACGCTCTGGGTGGATCCATCCCTGTTGCTTGCACAAAGAGCTGACTTGCAGGAAGATGTACTATGCTGTTTCCTCCCAGCCCTACCCCTTGTACACAAGCCAGTAGAGGGAAAGATTTAGTTCTGTATTTTTCCCTTCTCCTCCTGATTTAAAAATAATATATGAATTTGTTAAAAATTAAATGAATAGAATCTGAATATGTTTGACCCTCAATGAGTACAAGCGGGGCAAACCTTCAAATGAGAATATTCACAAAAACCCACTGATACTTCATAGCTCCATGACACTTGGAAGAGATACCCAGAGAAGTCTATCATTATTACTATTCTTTTATTTTTCTGTTTCCAGAAATTTCATCCTTCAAGCTCGGTCTCATCCAACTGTCCCGAGAATTTGGCTTAGATACTCAAACTCATGCAGAACAAGTTCTATTGCATCTGTTTATATTCTGAATTTCCACCCTTTCTTTCCAACATTTAAGGAGCTACCATTGCATGCAAAATATTAGCTTATGGGTCAGGATTAATGCATAGTATCATTCTTCCTTCTCCTTTTTTGAATTCCTCTTTCAACATGTAATTCTTTTCATCCACTGTGCTATTACACTAGATAATTCACAGGCAATGGCAAAACATAAATACTTACCTCTTCTGTTTCATTCAGGTTTTATTGATTTCATTGTGGAGCCCACTTTTACTGTGCTGACAGACATGACAGAGAAGATTGTAACACCCCTAATTGATGAAGCCTCCCGCTCTGGTATGACTGGATTTAGACGTTCCAGGTGAGTACCTATATTTGCTTTGGGGCATGAGTGTTGTCTCTGCTTTTAGGGCTCACTTCTCTGTTTTGGACTCATTGGGTATTAGCAAAGACCTCCCATTGGTTCTGTCTGTCCTGGTTTCTACCTGAAGAGAAATATGGTTGGGAAGTGTAGTAGAAATGGATTGACCATGAAGTACAATCAGACCTGGTTAATTATTGCTTGATTTATGCATATATTCACGTCAGAATTCATTGGAATTTGGATGTAAAGAGTCTCACTTTCATTTAACCTGACCTTCTGCCATAAGAGCTATCAAGGAACCATCTTGAGTTATTAGGGTTTCTCCTGTGCAGGTCCCAGGATAATTCCAGCACAATTGTAGGTTGAATATTAAAAAGGCTTGAATGGGGACATAATCTGCCTGTATGCTATTCACCATTATCTGAATAGTCAGAATAATAGATATTAGAGAGAGAAAAGACTTATTTGGTCACTTAGCCCCTCTCTTTGTCAGTGCAGGGTTGTTCCAGACATTGTAGATTCCCCATTGATTTGTACATGTCTCCAGCAATGGAGTTTCAACCTCTTCTCTTGGGAAATGATTCAGAAGTCTAAGTCACCATTAGGAAATATATCCTGATTATCAAACTGAATTTTTCTTTTCTTCCTTTCCTCCTACTTATTATCCCTTATGCCACACTCACTAATTTGTTTCCATCCTTGGTGTTTTACACTAAACAGATACTTAAAGACACTGGATCAAACCAACATTCCATATTTTAATGTCTCTTAAATCCAGGGAAGTTCAGAATCTGAAGCTGGATTCCATGACCTGTGTTTCTATAATCTAAACCACCAGAAACTGAATCCTAAATGTCCTTGAAGTTTGGGGAACGGGGTTGGAACTGAAACTAAAATTTTGCAGCTCAACCAATGACTTTTGGACAAGCTATCCCTCTATCCCTATATAACACTGTCCTCGGGAGCCAAAAAATCTTACCGTGTTATAGGTGAAACCGTGTTATATCGAACTTGCTTTGATCCGCCAGAGTGCACAGCCCCCCACCCCCGAGCACTGCTTTACCGCCTTATATCCGAATTTGTGTTGTATCGGGTCGCGTTATATCGGGGTAGAGGTGTATAAAGCCCTTTATCAGTCAGTCATCTCCCTTCCACCCCCAGACCTTAGTCATTGCTGTCAACAATTGTTTAGGAACTTAAGTTTTCCACATGCATTAGTCCTTCTGGATCCTTAATTATATTTGTAGCTCTTTAGGTTCCTTCCAAATTTGTTTGCATCTGAACTTGATTTTAAACATATGTAAAATTCACTGAAGCTGCAGACAGTGCCAGAAGCTACAAGAGGTTCTAGTTCAGTGCTCTAGAACTAAGAGCCAATACAGACTACTGTCCAGAGATGATGAGGTGGGACAGTCCTCTAGCCCACCATTGAGTCAGGGGCCTTTGGAAAGGTGAGATAGGGCATAAGTAGTGCCTCAGGCACTTCAAGAGACATTTAGTAATTTTTCAGGTGCTGCCATACAAAGGTTATAGAGCCAGCATCTTATATAGTATTTCCATCTATCCAGGAAGGGAACAGAGTTGCAGGGCACTAGTTCCTATTTGTGTAAGGGCAAAATGTGTCATATTTTTAATGATTGGAATTTAGTTATGCAAGACTTTTTTGATGTGCAGTTTCACACAAATTTCCATTTTAATAATGAAAACTTTGCAAATGGGAACTTTCACACAACTCTAATAGCATTAGGCAACATATATGGGTATTACCGGTGTTGAGCTCACTGAAGTTCACAATGTTGGCTATTAATAGACTCAGAGCCGATTTCTCATCTCACACTGGTGTTAACTGGGAACAACTTCACTGTATTGACAGAGTTGCACTAGTGTAAATCACATTGGAATTAGACTCACTGTTTCTTACAATGCTCCAGATTGTCTCATCAATTCTAAAGTAGATCTCCCCAATGTTCTCATGATATGGTTCTTCCAACACAAGCATCTTCCACAAGGAACAGAGGGAAGAAATTTAAGTTTTGGATATTGGCTTTTGCTGATTGACTGTATAGTACTTTATGGCTAGGGTCTGTTTCACTCCATAGCTGTATTTAAGTGTATGAAGTGCTGATTCCTATCACATTGTGTGATCTTGTCTCCCAGTTTGAATAGCATTAGCCCCTCAGAAGTTAAAAGATCAAGTGTCAAGAGCACTGGGTCAGAAGGAAGTGCCTCACTCAACTGTTCCATACTCACTGTGGATTTCAAATGTTTTAAAGCCACCTGGACCGAGGTGGTGCAGCAGAACCGGGAGAAATGGAAAGCAAAAGCAACCAAAGGTAACAGACGAGCCTCATAATAAAAGGCTGCAAGCTCTTTTACCTCCTCCTCCCCTTCAGGCTTTTTTTTCTACGTAGTTAGCCCTGAAGTACGCTCTGACTTCTCAAACCATCTGCCTCTAGAGGCCAGCAACTCTCACTGCACTTGGAGCCAGGAATACTCAACTGAAAGCCTTATACCTTTTTGTATACTGTGCACACGGGTGTTGGAAGTGTGTATGTGTTGGGGGAAAGAGAGCAGTAGAGAAGATGATAGAAAGGGAATGGAAAGGGAAGTCAGTGGGCTTTGGATCAGGCTCCAAATGAAAGGAAGGATCTGACTTTTTGACAGCTTGTGAAATCTCTTTAGAGCTGTATGCCTGTTGCTCAGATCCTTGATTAACTGAGACAGTATATTTTATATTGTTTGATTTAGACAGTTTGATTTTATTACCTTATTTTTTTCTTGTATGGCAGTAGTATTGTACAGTACTATATATGGGCCCTATCCTACAAACACTTACTTGCCAGCCATGGGGCTTAATACCATAAAGACTCCCATTCACTAGAGCTCAGAACTACTCATACACCCAGCATACACCCAGCAGTAAATGTTTGCAAGATCAAACTCTATGTCGCTGTAGGGCAAGATACATTTCTCTGTGGCAGGGACTCCTTTCTTCTTCTGTGTTTGTATAGTGCCCAGCACAATGAAGCCTCAATCTTGACTGTGACCTTTAGGAGCTACTTTGATATCCATTATTATTAATAATAATCTCTTAGACGTGAGGAATGGAGATGGGTGCAAGTTCTTTAACCAAACTGATTTGGACTTGGCTTGAGGCATAGTGGAAGACTTGGCTTAGTTTTTATATTAACTGAAGCAGATTGTTCAGCCTCAATTATAAACTCTCTTTGGGAGGCAGAAGGGGACAAGTCTGTTAACCAAATACAATTTTCCTTGAGGTTAAAACATACCATACAAAGTATCAACCCCTTTTATGCTTCTCTTGCCAACAAAAAACAGTCCATTTATTTGCCAATTGATTTCAGATAGCTCTTACTTTTTAAATTGGTGTTTACTTGTTTCATCTGTTCTTTTTTGGATCAAAAAGATCTGATGAAAACAAATGAAAGTTTACCAAATGACTATAGTCATTAACATGGCCAGATGGTTTTTGGTATATGACTGTTGAATGTATGTGGCCAATCTATTTTGCTTTAACACGTGACTGCTGTTCATGAGATTGTCATCATTATAGTATATACTGTTTGTTTATCTAAAGTGCACACCCACACTATCTAAATCCTGTATGCAGGGGAGACCATCAGGGAACTTAATAATACATACTTTACAGATTGCCTACAAACAAATGCATAATATGGACCCCAATGGGTCCTGGGGATTCAACTTTGTTTTCTACCCATTTGCAGTGAGTGTTTTGAGCAAGGATTTTTACTGAAACATACATAAGAAGTCACATGATTCAAATGGAGACGTGCACCATTAGTTAGGTTCTGGTTTGTCTCTGCTCATCAGTTTTTAAATCTTCATACATTTCTGGGTGTGTTTAGTAATAACCACATTTATATAAAACTTTTCATTCTAAAGACCTTTACAAACACAGGACTTGTCACTGGATTGGCTGCGCAATGGGATCTAGAAAGTGAGGCACTGGACTGGGAATTCGGAGACCTGGCTTCTATTCCTGGTTCTGCCACTGGCCTGTTTTTTTACCTTGGGCACATCATTTTACCTCTATATGCCTCTGTTTCCTGACACTTATATCTGATAAGCTCTTTGGATGGAGACCATTGCTCAGTATGTTTGTAGAGGGCCTACCACAATGGAACTTCAGTCTCTGTTGAGGCCTCTAGACATAATTAAACTGCAAATACATTTAAAAACAATAATAATGTATAAAGTAATTAATAGGAATGCAGTCACAGTCAGGGTGTAGCACATAACAGCTATTTATTAGTGCACAGCAACATTACACAGCAATTTAGGATCAGAAGCAAAGAGGAAATTGATTTGTACCATTTCTGTAGAATACTGTAGTGTCTTTTGTAAGGATATTATCAATAGAAACTTGGTGTGGTGTTTTTATACTGAGTATAGTATTTTTGGAAAATGTCTTGGACTGTGTAGGCAAAATAAGTGAGTTTGTTGCTCAGCTCCTCCTACTTAAAAGCTCATTATTAAATAATTATAAGTTAAGAACCAGAATAAACATCTGCCCCAAGGTATAAAAGCACTGTACAGAGCAAGCATGTTGTGACACTAATTTTAATATCAGGCAAATTTCTAGCAGTATCATAATAAATCTCTATATGAATTAATGTTCCCTGCAGTTTTTAACTGAGTTTTGTCTATCTCCTGTGATTAGGTTGCAAAGTGTTAGCAAATTTTTCAGAGAGTCCAAAACCAGGGGAGGTATCTGGGAAGCCTTCATTGTATCATACCTCCTAAGGCATAATATCAGTGTGCATACTGAGCCATCTATGGAAACTAGATTATTGCAGAAATGATTAATAAAGTGTGGGAGGCTCATATCTAATTTAATTATATTTTCATGTGATCCATAATTTATTAATTTAAAAATTAATTAATTTTTGTCAGCTGCTGGCAAGGAAATACAGATTGATGCTTCTTATAAAAATGACATTTTTTCCCCTTCTGTTTTGTTCCTCTTTTTGGTAGATTTTCTGGAGAAAATTGCTCTGATTCAGTTGTCAAAATAATTTTTGTTACATGTGCGAAGATGTTTAATAAACACTTTGTAATTCGTACTCCCTTGCTTAGGGTCTGATCCTGCAAGATACAGAGCACCTTCTGCATAGATGTAGAGACTCTTCAACTCCCATTGACTGCAATTGGATTTAAACTGAAGATGCTTAGCACTTTGTAGGCATTGTTCAGCAGTCCAAAGGAGCCAGAGTTCTGTATTTTTGTGGTACTAGTCAGAATTAGCGTAGTTTGAGAACTGCCTAAGAGACAGGAAAATGATATCACTGGTTCTAAGTATTTGCTGTCACAGCAGAACCCAAGGTTCAGTTTGCTGGACATGAACACAGACTACTTTTAAAAGAGGAAGTTACTGCTCTTTATTAACTTTCTTTTACATGCATAATCTGAAATACTATTATTGCTCAGGGCTGATTGTTTCCATGCTTAACTGCCCTTCCTGTACTTCCATTGTTTTAAAACTCATAAACAAGTCCCTATGGCCAAAACAGGTAGCCCAATGATAGAGGTACTCAGGCCTAAAGGTACACAATTCTGCTGACAGGCATCCTGTCCCTGGGAAAGAAAAAGACCAATAGTGGAGATGGCTGACTTAGTGGGAAGCTGAGGTAGGAAGAGGCCAGCTGAGTTCACAAGCTAAATATGAGTCAACAGTGTGATGCTGTTGCAAAAAAAGCAAACACGATTCTGGGATGTATTAACAGGTGTGTTGTGAGCAAGACACGAGAAGTCATTTTTCCGCTCTACTCTGCTCTGGTTAGGCCTCAGCTGGAGTATTGTGTCCAGTTCTGGGCACCGCATTTTAAAAAAGATGTGGAGAAATTGGAAAGGGTCCAGAGAAGAGCAACAAGAATGATTAAAGGTCTTGAGAACATGACCTATGAAGGCAGGCTGAAAGAATTGGGTTTATTTAGTTTGGAAAAGAGAAGACTGAGAGGGGACATGATAGCAGTTTTCAGGTATTTAAAAGGGTGTCATAAGGAGGAGGGAGAAAACTTGTTCACCTTAGCCTCTAAGGATAGAACAAGAAGCAATGGGTTTAAACTGCAGCAAGGGAGGTCTAGGTTGGACATTAGGAAAAAGTTCCTAACAGTCAGGGTGGTTAAACACTGGAATAAATTGCCTAGGGAGGTTGTGGAATCTCCATCTCTGGAGATATTTAAGAGTAGGTTAGATAAATGTCTATCAGAGATGGTCTAGACAGTATTTGGTCCTGCCATGCAGGCAGGGGACTGGACTCGATGACCTCTCGAGGTCCCTTCCAGTCCTAGAATCTATGAATCTATGAATTACATGGTCACGTTTCTTATGTGACATGCCCGCAATGGCAGATTTATGGGAGAGAGGATAAAGGGGCTGAATTTATCTGCCTTTCACTTCCGCTTAGATCCACTGTTCTCTTTCTGACCTAAACTAGTTTCTGGTGTTCCTAGGCAAATTCCACCCCAGAGGTGGCTGCACATCTGTGGTGCATGTGTAGTCTGTATATCATTGCAATTTTGTGAAGCAATTTAGGATCATTCAGGATGGAGGGGCACTGTATACATGTAAAATATTAGTAGCCAGAGCATTAGACCAAAAGGAAAGGAAGGAAAACTTGGGGAAGAGTGAGAGGAAAAGAAGAGCGTAAGAAGCCAGCAGAGAGAGACTGAAATCCCCTTCCCTTTACATGGATGGCTGAACTGTTCTTCCCTTAATTTGCTTTTTAAAATACATAGTTATAAAATATTTGGGGTCCATATTTACAATTGCATTAGTGGTGGGGTTTTCAAAAGTGACAACAAATATTGACTTTAATAGGAATACAGCTAGTCCAATGCTGAGTGCCTTGCAGGTCTCACCCTAAATGTTTTGTTTTTGTGTCTTTTTTTTGTCATGTTAATTTCCACATTTATCTAAGTTAAGATCATTTGAGAGGACATGGCTGAAATTGGATTAAATGTGTGTACGGTATCACTCTGGCAAAGCTGCTAATGGTCTTGATTTTTCCCCCCTTCGTTTTGGTTCTCCCTTTGCTGAGGATGCAGAAGAAAAAGCTAAGAAAGAAGCTGAGGAAAATGCTCATCAGGGAACAGAGGAAAAGAAAACAGAAGAAAATGAGGAGAAAAGTCCAGCCGAGGATACCACGACAGCCACGTCAGAAAACAGCAAAGAACCAAATCCTGGGGAAAGTAAGAGCACAGAATCTAGCAAAGGTCATGTAAATGGGACTCAGCAAAGTGGTGTGAACAAACTCGAAGCCTCTCAAGGGAGAAAACAGTCTAGAGCGGACAAGGGCAGTGAGTCTCACCAAGCAACAGGAGAGGAGAAACAGCATGTCCAAAATGGTAAGTCCTTTCATTGTTTCATTAAGGGGTGAATCCAGTCCCAAGCCCAAATAGCTCAGCGAGATATTGGGGAGATGTGTGAAGGAAGGAAAAGGGTCCTGGAGCAGTTCCATGCAGACTACTCTCGTTTAACAGTTGGCGTAGCCTCCATTGCCCTAGATTGCTTCCTTCACAGGGGGAAGTTTTCTTGGAACTCCTTGGAGCTGGACTCTACAAGTCCTGCATCAAAAATTACCCAATCCCTTGTATGCTCTAGCTCAGTGGTTCTCAACCAGGGGTCCGAGGCCCTCTAGGATGCCACGGGCAGGTTTCAGGGGGGTCCACCAAGCAGGGCCAGTGTTAGACTCTCTGGGGCCCAGGGCAGAAAGCCGAAGCCCCACCCCCTGGAGCTGAAGCCCGGGGTCCTGAGCCCCACCACCCAGGGCTGAAGCCAAAGCCTGAGAGCCTGAGCAACTTAGCTTTGTGGGGGCCCCTGTGGCATGGGGCCCCAGACAATTGTCTTGCTTGCTACCCCCTAATGCGCTGGCCCTGGCTTTTATATGCAGAAAACTAGTTGTTGTGGCACAAGTGGGCTGTGGAGTTTATATAACATGTTGCGGGGCCTCAGAAATAAAAAGGTTGAGAACTAGCTGCACCTTTGGCTATAAAGGTGAGGTTTGCCTCCACATCAAAATGCAACTATCAGGTACACTGCGCTCTGGAAGCTGAAACAGATGGTCTGGAGAAATCCTCAGCTTCACTGACTGCATGCTTATTGTACTGAGGAAGAGGGAATCAAAGATAGCTCATGAACTGCTGCAGGGCTGGTTTAAGGTCCCTTTCCACTGCTCCAGTGATGCAGATGGACTTCAGGAGAAGCAAAGGATCTGGCCCTTTAGTTTTTGAGCTTTAAATTTACATATGACTTGTTTCCTTTGTTATGCTGTTCTTTATGAAAAATACAGGCCCTGTTTGCTATATCCCCTCATTGAATCAGTGCTAGGCGCTGTACAAGCAGGAAGGAAGGAAGGCATGGTCCAGAACTTACAGCCTAGAAAGACAAATATAGAAAGAGTAGGGAAAAGAAAAGGAACATATCATGATAATAGCTGCAGCTAGTCAAAATTCTCAGAAATTCAATCTTTTGGCAACATTTTTTGGTAGAAATATTGAATTGTGTTTTTAAAAATAGTACTTTTTTGGGACGTTTCATCCCATTTTTTTAAACCAGCTATAGACCTGGTTAAAAACATTTTTTTTTGACCATCTCCCCCACATCTCCCCCAAGATGAGAGAGTTTTTTTCTGAAAATTACATTCCATTGTTTTGTATTTTTTTTAATTATCAGCTACATCATAAGGCTATTCTCAGTTGCCTCTGAGCTGTGCTATTTCTCTTAAAGGGGGACTTTCCAGAGCAAGAAATGCAGAGGGACAGGGCTTGAGCATGAATATGAGAGAATATATTCAGCAAGTTAGTTTGAACTAAGGGACAAACAAATCCCTGAATTGATATAACCTAAAATATTGTGCGAGAAACTAGTGGAGATCTTAAAAGTGTTCTAAGCAAATTACCTTCTCATTTTATAAATATATGCCTGTTAACAAGGCAGAAATAGAGAAAACGGCAATAAAGCCATATACCACCATTCACCAACTGAGTCAATGTCGCCTAGCTAACTACTCCCAAACCACTCTCAACAACCCTCTCAGGAAAAGCCCAAGGATATGTTTACACTGCAGCTGGGAGCGGGCCTGGGTCTGAACACAGGTGGCCCATACTACTGCCTGTGCTGCAATGTCCACACTGCTATTTTTAGCATGCTTGCTCAAGCAGAGCTAGCGCGTATCTGTCTGCCCAGGCTGGGATGCACGGGATGCACATTCCCAGCTGCAGTGTTGACATGCTCTGAGTGAATAGATAGGCTTGCAGTGTGCCTTGAAAAGGAATCAAAACTCAGGCTAGAGTGAGTAAACAAACTCTAGCTAAGGGCCTTCCACTGAGAAAGCCCAGCCTGAGAATTACAAACCTAGGGACTGTCAGTTTAGGTAGCTCAGCAGATCTTAACTTCCAGGACAGAGCACAAATACGACTTCAATGGCTAGCTAGTGATGTTCTCCCCTTTTACCCCTTCCCCCTGCCCTCTCCTTAGAGAGATCAGGAGCTGTTGATTAGCATAGAGCATGCCACATACAAAGGGTGTGTGCATCTCACTTGGCAACCCACTCCACCTACAACTAAACTAGATATTCCTTTTACATATGTAGCTGTTATCCTTGGGAGAAATGTTGGGAGTAGAGTTGGAGCTTTCTACAATGCATAGGATTTTTCCTATGTTGTGGTTGAAAGCCCCCCAACATTATTTGAATGCATGGGAATGAGCACAGAAAGGACATGTGAAATCCCATTAAACCGCACCAGATAAAGACACTTTACTGAAGCCTTCTGTTTTACATACTTCTCAAATGATATGGGGGTGACATGCACTTTATTGCTTTGGTAACTGCCTTTTGCTGCTCTCTCCCCCATTGGGTCATTCTGTAAGTGTCAAAAAATGCTTTAAAAGGATGATTTCTGAAAATTAGTATCTTGCTCAAGAAAAGAAATTGTGCTCTAATTTATTGGAAAAGACTTTTGAGTTATAATTACTGTAGGGCCTTTCGGACTCATGAAACATAACATCCGTCTCCTTGGGTTCAATACTGCTTCCTTTATGCTATGCCTATATGGTAATATTTTCTTGTAAAGTATTCTCCTGATTATCTTGATTGTTTGGTAATTCCTTTCAAGAAGATAATGATCATTACCATTCTGCAGTGATATGGTAGGCCAGCTATTATAATATTCATAACTTCCCCTTTTCATAATAAATTATATTCAGCGAAAGTTCAAAAATTGTCTCCTCACATTAGTTTGAAATCTGTGTCAGTCAGACCCTTGGTGGCTTCTCACGAAGCGAGCGCACGATGAAAGAATATTAATTTGGGCATTCATCATCCTTTCGTACACACAGTTGGGGCAAGTCATTTTTATTTTTCAGTGGGCAAGTAAAGTATCATTAGTTTCTCATTATCAATCATCATGATAAAGGGCATGTGAGTAGACATTTGTGTTTTGACTGGTAAATTTTAATGTCAATTTTGTGAGGGTGGTGCACATATCCATTGGAACCTGGGCATTCTTCTTTGATGACAGGTCCCAGTCTTGCAATGAGAAGGTCCCAGCCCTTCATTGAGCTCCACATAGGCAGACCCTGTCTTTCTCTCTCTCTCCTTCTCCCCCTCCATCTCCCCCCAAATCCCCATGGCCATTATTTATAAAACTTGGAAAGTTTAATCTCTGATGCCTCGATTCAGCCGCCCATCCCTCTTAATCAAAGTGCTCATCTTTAGGCATGAGCTTAGATCCTATTGACTTTAATGTGATGTAAGCATACGTTTTAGTGCTTTGCTGAATAGGGATGGACTTAAGCACATGCTTAAATACTTTGTTGAACTGAGGCCTTAAGGAGGCAAAGAGATAAAGATTAAAGGGTTTAATATTCAAGAATGCAATGAACTGAGAAATCAAAAGTGATACTGTGGTTGGGGGGAGGGGAGAAACCTCAAATAAAGAATTATGGGCGTGATCCTTCAGTCACTGAGCAGTTGTGAGGGCATGCAACATCTTACAAGAAGAACCCTCATATTATTGGGAGTTTCTGAAAGCAATGGCGATGGGGAACATGATTTTCAGAAGTACTGGAGACAGATGATTTTTCAGATTCTCCCTCTACATTTCCCAAACAAGTAATGCCCGCCTATTCATTAGTAGAGTAGATACTGTTAAAATCTTCTTGATATTTAACATAGTAGTTAACTGTGTCATGATATAGGGGGGAGGGATAGCTCAGTGGTTTGAGCATTGGCTTGCTAAACCCAGGGTTGTGAGTTCAATCCTTGAGGGGGCCATTTAGGGATCTGGGGCAAAAATCTATCTGGGGATTTGTCCTGCTTTGAGTGGGGGGGGGTAGACAAGATGATCTCCTGAGGTCCCTTCCAACCCTGTATTCTATGATAGAAGGCTGGCCTCACTGTTGGGGTGCCTCCTCATGTCCATGTGTGTCATAGCCTCTCTGGCAGCCACTGCCAATGGCTGTTTTGGTCATCCAGTGGTCTACTTCTTCCTGTGAGTTGACCTTCCGGCCATGTCATCATTTAAGTCTAGCCCTTTTAGGCTTACAAGAAGTCCAACAAACCGATGTCCAAGACCTTGTATCAGAGCTTCAGTCCCAACACTGGGCCATGTGGTTCTCAGGGCTCTTTGACATCCTTGTCCCCTTTTCCGGTCTCACACCACTCTGTCAGTGGCTGGTAGGGGAACCTGGGGCCTCTCAGTACACCAGGTGCCAGGCCAGAGACCATATAACTAGCAGCCAAGGTCTGCTCAGTCCAACTGCTTGCTGCTGCTTCCCTGCGCTTCTTCCTACCATGGCCTTTCTCAGACGTTCTCCCCACAGCCTCCCTAGGCTAACCCTTATTTCAGGGGCAGGTGTCCCAGAGCTCTCCCCGAGAATCCCCCAACAAAATCCCAAACTGAAAATACTAACTTCTCAGGCTTGACCTTTCCTTTCTTTGTACACCTCCAGTTCCCCTGCTTTGTTCCTTAACTGAACACCCCCCCGAGTTCTCCCCCTGGACGTCCAAATCCTGCCCTGCTTTCAGTGTGCACCTCCAGAGCCTGTGCCACACCTCTTCTGGCTTGCCAGCCTTCTCTACTCAGGCTAGGATCCCCAGGTTTACTCTCCCTCTGGGCTTTCTCCTCACAACCTCTCTAGTCCCAAAGAGAGGGATTGCAGAGTTCCTTCCTCTCCTCCTTGCAGCCACCTCCTGCTCTCAACTTCCTCTGATTATAGTCCTCTCCCCAGCTGGGCTTCATCCACAGTTAAGCCTGGCCCTTGCCCCAAGGCAGCCAAGCCTGGTATGTTAATTGTCCTCTCCAATCATATTAACCCATTCAGAGCCTGTGTGGGGTACTCACCC